TGCTGTGCTGCACGCCTTCATGCATACGTGCCTTGCATGTGTTTTGTCGACCTTTTCGACGTCCTGTTGCGTTCTTTTGCTTCGAGTGTGTGTGGGAGGCACTGCACGTGTGGTGTGCGCTGGGGATTGTTCGCATTGTTCGCCTTGCTGGGAATGACCTTGTCGCGTTGCTGCTTTGCCTTCTGCATATTGCTCACGTGGACGTTTCACTCTGCAAACCATGAATACACCCATGACTGGCCTGTACGGCTCTGCTGCATACATAGTCTCTTTCCTCCCTCTTTCGCCGGGTGTACAATAAGTACATAGACACATGCGATCCGATCGATGCGCTGCCGAGACACAACTCGATCTCGCGTCAACTCTCTCGCTCTGCCTGTCGCCCGCCCACTACACACACACACACACACACACATACACACACATGAGTGTCTCTCCGCATGACCAGCCAGCCCCACTCGATGACATCTCGCCCATGACGGCAGCCGACACGGCCCGTCAGCTTGCCGAGCTGTCCTTGTTGCTGAAGGCGCTGCCGGCCCGATATCTGTCGGTGGCCGAGCTGCACGCCAGGGCCGAGTACGTCGACGCGGTGGACAAGTGCGGCCAGCTGGAGAGGGCAAAGGAAGCGGCCAGGAAGGACGTCGAAGACATGAAGAAAGGTCAGCTGGGAGAGACATCCATAAATCCATCGGTCGATCGGCTGCTCTGCTGTTCTGTCTGCGTCTTCACTTCCCCATTCACCGATCGGTGTGTGTGTGTGTGAGTGTCAGCGTGTGCTGAGGCTGAGGAGAGGATCGCATCGATCAGACGGGAGACGCGACAAGTGCGTGTGTGTCTCTGTGTGTCTGCCCCACTCATTCATTCATTCATTCATTTATTCGGTGTCTCTCTCGCTGCCAGGTCTATGCCCACATTTCTCAACTGACCTGCGACCTCCACAAGACACAACAGGTCTGACTTCATGACCCACACATCCATCCATCCACAAATCCTCGCTGCTGTGTGCTGTCCATCTATGTGTGTGCAGGAGCAGCACGAGTGCGAGGCCAAGTGGCAATCGCTGCAAAAACGTCTGGCCGCCGCACAGCAAGTCACCAAACAAACAAAGATGCAGACACAGACACAGAGACAGGCGATAGATGCTCTCGGTGTGTGTGGCTCAGGAGCATGACGTCATGCTCAGACACGAGGACAAGACCGCCAAAATGACAAATGAAAACAAAGTGAGAAGAGGCTGCTTTGGCAGCATCTCACCTGTCTGTCTGTCTGTCTGTCTCAAGGTCTGTCTGTCTGTCTGTCATTGTGCTTGCTGCAGAGCGAAGACGAGACACACAGTAGGCCCCCGACAATGCGCACAAACGAGCGGCGCAACAACTACAAGAAGCAGCGCCGGTCAGCCAGCCCGTCCTCATGGTGTCGGCCGATGTGACTGACGCACACAAAGTGAGTGCCTAAATTGTCCTTGGTGCGTGCAGGTCGTTTTATGACGTCCCGCAAGTCATCAACAGACCGACGGACGACGGCCACGCGGTGAGACAGGCGAAGGGCGTAGATCGTGTGTGGTGACGCACGAGTTGGCGGCTGTGTGTCTTGTCTTGTGGAGTGGATCTGTCCGACATGATGCAGTCGGGCGGTGTGTGATGAGATGTCAACCGAATGAAGAGCTCACTTGTCAGCTGCAGGGCGGACAGACAGAGATGGATGGAAAAGCTAGCTTATTTGCTTATCTGTTTGTGTGGACAAAGAGACAAACACAGACTGACCCGTGTATATGGCGTAATCAAGAACGAGGGGAGGAAGGAAGCCTTACTTTCGATACGTGCAACCTATCCACACATATCGACTGTCCGTCCCCAATTCCATTCACCCGTCCACCCGCCCACCCGCCCACTCGTCCAGTTCTTGCAATGGGTCATTTGCGATCACTGTGTCACATGTCTCATCAGCCCTCTTCCTTCTGCCACGCTTCCTGTCGCCTTCTGTCACCTCTCCCGCTCCCATGCTCAACGCCGGCGCCTCTGGTGAAGGCGCCGATGGAGAACTTACCATTGAGTCACTTGACCCACTCTGGTCGTTATCCGCACCTTGCTCGCCAACCCGGGGCCGTCTCCTCTTCGGTGCGCCTCCATTCGGATATCGGGGCTCGGGGGAGGCATTGAGGATGTTGTCCAAGGCATACGGGTCCGCAACACCAGCAACAGTGGTGCTGTGAGGGCCCGGGATCGAGGAGGCTGAGGTGACGATAGACAATCAAATGGCAGTGTATCAGAGCATACCGGATGCTCTGGTTTTTTCGCACCTGGCTCCTCTCGTTGGCGTCTCGGAGGGCGAGCGGCGACTGGGCCAGGGACTGGCAAAGAGTAAATTGCTTGATGCGATGGTGGAAAGTCAGCAGCTGACTGCGACAATGCAGGTAGGCCGTTCACGGCTGCTGCGATGGCAGGCTGAGGCTCACAGACGGGGGGCTTTTTGCTGGCGTCGGGCTCGAGAGAGAGCAGATCGGCTAGCGAGGGGTCAACAGCGCCTTCCCTTGCGGCCTGGGCTATCCCTGGACACGACACGTGAATATACGACACCTGCAATTCTTTGTATCTGCCCTGTTCTCATACCTGGCCTGAATGGGACAAATCGCGGCTGGGAGGGCTGGGAGGGGGCAGGCTGCCCCACAAATGGGACCGCCTCCATTGCCGTGGGTGCGGCGTCCTCGGGCGATGGCTGCTCGCTCTCATCGTGTGTCGGGTCCCTGGTGTCTGCCATTCGCTTCTGAAACAGCCCACACATCCAGTTCGTCATTCCAGCCGGTAGGTAGCCCGACTCATCTTCCCACCTCTGCTTCTTCTGCTTCTTCTGCTTCCTGTGTGCGTCCCTCCACTTCGTCCTCAATATCTTCCTGCGGCATTTCATCCTTGTGCTTGGCCTCTCCTTCCTGCCAATGGTAAGAAATCGAGCGGGACGTGGCTTAGCTGCGTCGCTGCTGCGTTGTGCTCCATGTGCTCACGAAGGCTGGCAGTGGTTGCACTTGCGCAGGTACTTCGAGTGCGGCAGGCTCTTCGGGTGGTGGCGTCACTGGAATGGGCGGCTGCGCAATGGGCTCCTCTAGCGCTTCGTCAGCATCATCATGATGGCCGAGTGTGCTCGAGGGGGGCACGCCTGAGGGATCCAGCGTCTGCATGGGCAGCTCGTCAACCGCGGTTTGTCGACTGTTTTGGGGCAGAGGGACAGGAGGGGCACTTCGCGGAGCCTCCTGCTCGCTGACTGTAGACGCTTTCTTCTTGACGGCTTTGCCACTTGCTCGCCTTCCGGCACGACCTCCTGCTCGAGCGGGCTTGGGGCTCTCCTTTCTGCTGACAGCCTTCGCTGGCGGCTTCTTGGGCATTTCCTTCGGGCGTTTCTGAACCGAACGAGGGGGGCTTGGCGGTGGAGAGACACCAGACGGGAGAAGACTGATTTAAGTGATGGACAGACATGCAGACATGCAGAGGAACGTGCGTGGGCTCATACTGTGAGGGCAGGATGGCTTTGACGTCCATCGGCAGGCTCTCATAGGCCGCATGCACATGGGCGTCGAGCCGGCTTGCTTCGCTTGTGCGCGTCTCGATTTTCTTCTTCAGGTCGGCTAGCTGCAAGCAAGCAAGCAAGAAGCCATGTGTCTGTGAAGGGGCCTCAGTGGACTGCAGCTCATGAAGGTACCTACCTGCTCCTGCATCCGTTTGCCCGATTGCCTGAGCTCCTTCAGGTTGTGTGCGTGCTCCTGCTGCAGCCGCTCCCTCAACCCGAACTCCTACGCATTCAAGTGAGAGCAATGAGCAATTCGTCCAGCCAGCAGACAGACTTATCTATCCGTAGGTGCGTGAGTGCATACATACATAGTCGATCTCCCTTCTCAGTCTGGCCGCACTCTTGGCCGACTCTTCCCTCTTCTTGACCTCTTTGGCAGATAGTGATCGCCCGGCCGGCACGGTATCGCCTTCGGGCACGTGAATGCCCCGCTGACGGAGAAGACCGAGACACTCCCCTATTCGCGCCTGGAGGCTGGATATGTGCTCCTGGTGCCTGGAAAGACAGACAGACAGACAGACAGGCAGGCAGAGACATGCGTTGCAGCAGAGCAAAGAGGTGCAGCCTGTTTGGTTCCCTTCCTGCCTGCCTGCCTGCCTGCCTTTGCGAGCTCTCTGTGTCTCTGAGTATCGCCTGCTTCAGACGCAACGTTCTCTCCATCCAGTGCTGCACCTGTGGCCCAACAGCAGAGCAGCTGAGCGACGGTTTACTTATAAGTCCCTGTCTGGTGTCTTATTACCTACCTCGGTGGTCAGGGCTTCCAAAGCTTTGGTCAGCTTGATCTCGGCGCGGTCGTTCCTGTTCAGGACCTCCAGTTGGCGGCCCTTGCGCTTGTTCTCCGCCTGCATCTCCCGATTCACCTGCGAAAGAGCCGCAACCCTCTCGTCAAGCTGCAAGCCCATACACATGCAACTTGTACACATGGCATGTAGTGTCTCATACATATCGTCTGACTGGAATGGCTGTCGGCCGGCTGACTTACTTACCTCTTTGATTCTGCCCTTGAGCCTGACAGCTAAAGCTGGGTCTGAAGCCTTGTTGAGGAGACGCTGGAGATGGACCAGCTGGAACGAAACCGGGGAAAGAGCATTCATTGTTTGCGTTTGCATGCGGTCTTTCCTGCCATCCGTACTGTACCTCTCTTTTGCTGTTTTCCAGCTGCTTTTGAGTGTTTTGGGTATCCTCATCTCTGACCTGTACCCGGGAGCGAGGCTGCCGACCTGCAAATAGACACAGCAGTCAGTGACATGCATGACTGCGCTATAGCTGTGTGACAGATACACATTCTGCGCACCTCCCTGGCTGCCCATCTTCGTGGTATACGCCGTTTCAAGCATCGTCATTGATGCATCCATGTCTCGGAGGAAGGAACGCACCAGCTGGTTCTCACTCTGGATGGCTTGCATGTCTTCGGGACGGTTCTGCAGTGACATCACACAAAAACATGCAGTGATGGCTTGCAGCATTCGGACAAGCTTTGAGCTTCTCTCTCACCGGGTGTAACCTCAGGAATTTCCCGGCATCTCTCACGTGTCTTTTGGCCTTGAGGAGCTCCCTCGACTCGGCCAGCCCCAGCCCCAGGATCTTCGCTGGCCTTGATGGCGCCGACAGGGAGTGCGTGTGGTCCTGCTGCCTTTTGGATGAGAAATCAGATACAGTGGAGGGGTCATCTGGGGCATCACCCGCAGCAGCGGCTGTCGTCGTTACTGCCTGCATGATGTCGGTGTACTCCTCTGTATATTCGCTCAGTTCTGTCGTGTGTGGCTCATCCCAACCGTGACGCTTCAAGCTGTCGCTCTGTCTCAGGCTCATCCTTCGTGAGCTCGCAGAGCTCCTAGCTCGCTCTCCTATGGATGGACAAAGAGACTGTGAAGGACACCTTCGAGTTGAGGAATCCGAGATCTGGCACCCGGCATCCATTTTCATCGTCATACTTCATCGAAGCCTCTGAGCTACCGCCAACCACCATGGTGAACCACGGCTTGAATCACTTTACCATCGCCACCCCAGATCTGAAGTCCAACATCGAGTTCTACAGGTAGATAAGGAAAAGAATGAACCCCTTTGTCTGAGTTGATCTTCCTGCAATCGGATGCTGTGCTGCAATTGCAATTGGGTGCTGCCTGCAGGGATGTCCTTGGTTTGGTGCATGGCCCTCCCCTGTCCAACACATCTCCTGTGAGTGAGAAGACGGGAATCACTCACTGATTGTTTATCTGAGGCTTCCTTCCTTCCCTGTGAATCCTTGTGTGTGTGCCTGTTAGGGTGCGTACATGTATTTGCCGGGTACAGACACACAGCCAGTGGTCCATATGATTGATTCCTCAAAGTGGAAGGACGACAACAACTTGGACTTCCGGCTCGACGCCAAGCCTTCGGAGCCGCTGGTGGCTGACGGCAGGGCCGGCCACAGGACGGGAGGCCTCGAGCATATCGCATTCGTGCTGGACGCCGAAGGTGCGCGCGCACACACACAGAGAGAGTCGGGCAGTCGGTAGGTGTTTCATGAAGGCGTGCGTGTGGGTGGCAGATTTCGCGCCCATGAAGCAACGGTTGGTTTCCATGTCGATAGAGCATGTGGAGGGCAATGACAATGCACCACAGGTGCGCACGCACGTGAGGACATCCATCATGCGGAGAACACCTTCATGGTGCGGTTGGTTGGCTGTGCCATTCATTCAGGTGCGGCAGTTGTGGTTTTTTGGTGAGTCTGGGAGGGAGGGAGGGAGGAAGAGATGAGCTCTCTGCATCGTGTGTGTGTGTGTGTCTGTGTGTGTGTCTGTGTCTGTGTTGTCTTGTGCAGACCCCCAGGGGATAAAGCTGGAGCTGAATTTTGTCGCCCAGGACAAGTGACGAATAAATTAAAGTGGTTGTAGCGTTGCGTGAGTGATTTGATGTATGTCCGGCAGTAGGGTGGGTGGGTGTACATATGTCGGTGGAGAGACCTAGGCTGTCGTGGGCAGGGCAGACACTTCGTGTACGTGTGACTGGGTGCTTCTGGTGTATTGGTTGGAGTCACAAGTGGGGTGGGAGCAGACGATATGCGACGGTGGAAGTCCATCGAGGCACAATCAATGAGTGATTGAATGAACAGTGAGGGAGAGTCCTGGCTGACGGCCCGACCGATGCCATCAATCAGTCGACAAAGGAAAGAGTCACGCCAACACAGCACTCACGAACACGCCTTGTCGCGTCGCGTACACACGCACATATCTGAGCTGCCTTCGTTGTCAGTCAGACACCGGCCATGCCATGCGTATGTACAGCGATGGATGGATTGGATCCTTGGCAGCGGTCAGGGAGCACCATGTACATGCGAACGTATGATGCCTCATGCACGGCAATGCACCATCGTCGGCCCACACCCACACACATGTCAGCCATGCTCTCGATGCAGGCAGGGCGGGCGGGAGCATGCTCACACAGTCATGATTTCCTTGTCTTTGATCTTGTAAGTCTCGTCAATCTCCTTGACAAACTTGTCTGTCAGCTTCTGAGCCTCGCCCTGCACATCCATCATAGGTAGGAAATGACAGACCACACCAGCGAGTGCGGGCCGGTAGGTACCTGAAAGTCTTTGCTTTGGTCTTCGCTCAGCTCTGAGTCTTTCTCCATCTTCTTGATGGAATCCACCACATCCCGACGAATGTTCCTTACAATACAACCACACACAGCCACACGCACACACGTGCCCGCCGGTGCGAGGGATGTCTGAGTGTGTGTGTGGGCCGGGCCACCCACCTTATTGCCACCCGGCTGTCTTCGGCAATCTGCTTGGCTTGCTTGGCGATGCCCTTCCTGCGATGACATCGCAGACCAGACACACAGAGAGGCAGACAGACAGGACAATACACACAGAAATGCACAGAGCGCCACTGATTGGCTGTTTATTTGCCTCTACGACATTTGGCTGAGATAGCTGGCTGACCTCCTGTCTTCGGTCATCGCTGGAACGTTGAGCCGGATGCACCTACCCACACACCACACAGAGCAGGCCGGCCCATTCAATTCACGTGCTGGTATGTATGGTCGATGGATGCTCTTTGCTTGTGTGTTCCCTCCCACGCCCTGCCGTGTCTGTCTGTCTGTCTGTCTGTCTGTGTGTCTGTGAGTCAGTCTGACTTTCCATCGCTGTTTGGCGTGAGTCCCAGTTCCGACTGCAGGATGGCCTTCTCGATCACCGGGATGACGCTCTTGTCGTAAGGGTCGATCCTCAGTGTTGACGCGTCAGGCGCACCGTAACCTCAACCAACACACAACATAATACAACACACAAGCAAAGGTAGACAGACGATAAATAAGGTGAATAAGGGTCGTGCGACGCCCAGCACTGACTCGCCAGCTGTTTGAGCGGCGTCGGTGTCCCGTAGTACTCAATGCTGATGCGGTCCAACATCCCCGGACTGCACTCACAACCACCAGTATACCACCAATCATGCCATGCAGCGCAGGCAGCAACCAACGGCCACTTCTCCCATCCCTCCTCCCTCTCCCTCCCTCCCTCCCTCCCTCCCAACTCACTTGGCTCTGCCCGTCCTGAGAGTGGCGAGGTTGTTGCGCAATGCATCGAGGCTCTTCTGCATGCGCTCCTCGCCGTCGAGGAGGTACTCGTTGGCCATCGATGGGCCATCCTCCTGCATCCACACACCCGACGCCGACCGATGGCGTGACACATGGAGGGGCAGATGGGACCGCCAGAGCCGAGAGGGGGGCAGGAAGGCAAAGCTGTGGCGGTAGCCCAGCAGGTGGTCTATCAGGCAGAGAGCCATGGATACGCGCAGGGACGCTGACGCCGCCATGAATATGAATGAAACCTCAAGATCCACACTCGATTTGCGCCAGCGACCACGCAACTCGTGTTTGCTGATCAGATGACCGCTGGAAACGTCGCTGCTTCTTCAGAGCTCGCCCATCCTCTGCGAGCTTGGCTTGCAGAGGGAGAGCCCTCTTGGAGCATTTCTTCAAAGTGTGTGTAATGAGAAGGAAAGGCAGACGATGGAGCCTTGTGCAGATCCTCTCACCGCTGTGCCTTGGCGTGGTGACCGCGGCGTGTGCGGCTTTGCTGAAGCGGTACGCACGACGTGGGGACGTAGATCAACCCATCCCCATCGCTGCTTGTGCGCCGTCAGGTTACGTGACGCCTCGCCCGTCCCGCCGACTGCTTTCTCGCCCCTGCCTTCGCTTCTGCAGAGGCATAGAACACTGACTGACCTGACGGACACGAAAGGGGGAGAGATCTGACGTGTTGGTCCTTTCTTCCTTCTCTCTGTATGTTTGCAGGCGTGCGGGTCCGCCCTCTCCCTTGTCCAGGCTGGGTGTGTTGGCGCCCGAGGGGTCCAAGTATCCGACGCCTCATGAGACCATATGGGGCGGACCCGATGGAAAGGGCCTCATACCGGTCGGACGCACTTTGCAATCGATACACACACACACACACACATTATGGCGGGTATCGGAGTGTGTATGTTAATGGCGGTTTGGTTGGTGGTTTGGTTGTGTCAGAGTGACGACACGAATCCCTGGTATGTGTTCAAGCACTGCCCCTGGGCGGCGCTGGACATGCGGGCCAACCTGCTTCAGCCAATGGGTGCGTGCGGACACATGCTTGCTTGTACTGATCAGTGAATGGAAGCATCTTACACACGCACACACACGTGGTGGGAGGGGCTCTATGTCTGTCTGTGTGTCTGTCTGTCTGTCCATCTGTGTGCAGGGGTGATCGGCAGCGGGCCGGAGAACTATGACGGCATGGGCCTCGACGAGGAGATCTTCGAGGGCAACAGAGACAGGTGTGCGGGTGGGGTGGGCTGCATTGCCGACACATTCACGTGACAAGAGAGAGACCTTCTTGTCTGTCGTCCCTCCTGTGTGTCTTTGTCTCCTCCCTCCCAGGCAGCGCAATCCCGCGTGGCCTCGCCACCTCGACCATGGTGTACAGTGGAGGCACGCATACCAGTGAGTGAGCACACACACACATAGACCGACCAGGAGACCAAGATGCCTAAGCACTTCACGTCGCCTGGCGGTGTGCTGTCCAGGCATGGCAACGGTTACGATCCCCACCCAGAGCCCGACGGCTGCCAGGACTACACCATCGGTCGGTCCGTACGGAACGCCGATCACACAAGACGTAGACCATATGTGTGCCTGCGTATGTTGTGTGTATGCGGGTGTGCAGGCGAGACTGACGAGGACCTGGAGCGTCGGCAGTGGGGCTGCTTCAACAACGACAGGGGCAAGTACCTCGACCCCATCACAGGTGGGTACAGACGTCTAAAGGACGTGATGCCATCTGGTCTGTCTGGTGTGTGCATGTCGGTATGTCGCTGCAGCGTACAAGGATTTCCGCGAGGACCCGACGACGATGACGCCGCACGTGCCCTTCCAGAAGTTCGATCAGCCGGTGGTGCAGGACTACCCCGAGTGGGGCAGATACGGCCCGTGCTTCCCATCACACCACGTACTCGCCGACTGGAGGTGAGTGAGGACAGGAGAGGAGAAGAGAGGGCCTTGGGTGAATGGGATGGGCGAAGGGGTGGAGAGGGGGTGCACAGACAGACAGACAGATTGATGGAGGTGAATGGGGACACATCACTCATTTCTTCGCGCCTCCCTTTTGTTTCCGTTCAGGATGAATCTGGCTGCCCTTGACAAACTTGAGAACGGCCCTGTCATCGAAATGCCCCACTCAAGCAGTAAGGAAGGACCCGGGGGCCCTGCACTCACTCTGTCAGACGTCTGACATCAGTCACATCACACGTGTCCTGTCTGCCTGTCTGTCTGGGTGCAATCGATCGATCAGCGATACTGCGCCGTAAGAAGGAGCTGCTGGACGAGATCCGCGCCAATGCGTCGGCCTTGGCCAAGGAGGGGAAGGTGTATGACGTGTCAGCCATGATCCGGGCCAACTGCGCCATCGACCCGGAGGCCTTCAAGGCCAGCCAAAAGGCCACAGACACACGCGCCATCCTCCGCACCGTCGGGCAGGGCGGCAAGCGCAAAATCGGCGACATGACACGCGCCAGCCGTGGGGCTCCTACGAAGGGCCTGACGCGCAGCCAGCAGCTCAAGCTGGACCAGCAGCGGCTGGAAAGGAGCCGGGAGCGCGCCGCGTGGCTGAGCATTTATCTCGACTACGAGCGGATGCTGCGGGGCGGGTGTGAGGAGGACTATGATGGCGTCTACTGGGGGCCGTCGTGGGAGGGCGGCGGGGTGGGGTACAACTACACCGGGCCCATCAAGACCGTCATGCAGAACCCTTTTGACGTGCCTTACACCGGATGCAAGTCAGTCACTCATTCACTCACTGCAGAGGGAGGGAAGGAAGGAAGGGGAATTCGCCCGTCGGGGGATCCATGGGTCGGTGTGTCTGTGTGTCATGTATGTATGTATGGTTGTAGTTTGCAGTGGTTTTCGACCAAGGAGGAGCTGGCCGAGCTGTACCACATCCATGTGCTGGAGGCGCGCAACGAGGGGCGGGTGGGCCTCGACGCCCAGCACATTGGCCTCCCGGACCAGGAGGAATACCCAACCAGACCCAAACTGTAAGTGACCCGCGTCTGTGCCTTACAGCTCCAGACACGTACAGTACACACGACGACCGACCGGTGTGTGTGTGGGTTTCCCTCAGCAAGAAGTTTCGGCGTCTGACCAGTTTCTACGTGCCCTACTGGACGCGTGTGGCGTTCGGTGAGGAGTTTGGAGATGCTCTCGAGCAGCACGAGCAGCTCCCCGACGACCTCATGAGGGACATCATAATCGACCTGCCAACAAAACACAAACAGACACTCCTGCATGATAATAATAATGAGGTGGGCGGACGGACAGACAGACGGACGGACAGAGAGGCACTCTCTCTCTCTCTCTCTCTGTGTGTGTGTGTGTGTGCGATTGGTTGGTCATGCAGGTGGATGGCGACTACGGCTGGGTGCGCGAGTATGAGGACTTCTACGTCGACTAACTGACATCCACTGGAGCTGGTCGACGAATGGAAGCAAGAGAGGCAAAGGGTGGTCAGGGATCTCGATGGCCTTCCTTCCTAGTACATCCGTACCGCTCGGCTGCATGCATTCATTGGTGCAGCTGGTAAGTCGTTGCTTGCGTGTCGATAGATTGGTGTACACTCCATACTTACGAAGGCCAGCCAGATCTGGACGATCATGCATGACTGACTCTTTGGAAAGACTTTAGTTAGAGATGTGGGCAATGCATCATTGCAACAAACAGTCATTCAGTTGACAAATGGATGGATCATGTGTCTGATGTCTGTCTGTCCTCCTACAAAAGAAGTCAAGTCCTACTAATGGATGGATCTATCGCCGTCCACGCTCATCCCTCACTGTCCGTCCACCAAACAAACCAACCAGCTGGCCACACATACATATCACTCACAGGAAGCCTCGGCACGTGGCCGCTCCACAGGTACACCTGCAAAGGAATATGGAGAAGAAAAACCATGCACACACGACACGAGCACAGCAGGCCGCTCGCCCACTCACAGTGAAAAGAGTAGCGAGTGCATGGCGTGTTGTGGTGTGAGGCATGCATTGCTCACCTTTCTCGCGTGCTGTGGTTGAGCTCGGTGTCGGTCCTGCACACACAAAACAAACACGACACACATACATACATACATACATTACCTGGCAGCTCGACGCTCCATCCATCCATGGATACATCCATCCATTCTTCGACGGCCGCCTACCCTACCCGTAGTCATATGACAGTTCTGTGCCGGCCGCTATCTCCTCAATCGCATAGATGTAGATGCGGGGTCGACCGCCGGGCACCTGCACCTCCTGAATGAAACCAAGCAGCACAAACCAGACAGACAGACAGACAGACGTGTGTGTGTGTCCATTCATTTGCTTGGTGCTGTCTGTCAATCATCAATCAGCCCACCCGCGGCTCGCAGTTGGGTGCGCAGCTGTGGTTGATCAGGCGAGCCTCGTTGTAGTCCTTGCGAGTCGCGTCAATGATCCTGCCGTTGGACAGCCTGAACAGGTAGGTGCTTCCCAGGCCTTGGCTGCGATACAAAGCCTCCCTGCAGGCACACAAGACACAGACAAATGCAGACAGACAGACAGACAGAGACGATATGAGAAGGAAGACACACACTCTCTCTCTCTCCTTGATAGGTGCGTACCTTTCGTCAGCTTGCTCGGCGTGAATGTACTCTCCTGCGTATTCGATTATCTCTTCGCCCGCTCGGATGGTCCTGTTTGCGAACAACCCAACGCCCTCTCTGCGAACGACACACACACACACGCCGCACCATGGATCAATGAACGAATGCTTGCACTGCGAGGCGAGCGCCATACCTGTGGATGGTCGATTTCTCCTCTCTAAAAGGCTTGAGGCGTCCGCTCCTTCTGCGTTTGTCCCGAGCTTCGCTTTCCGCGCCCGAAGGCAGATGGACAGCGGCGCGGGAAGGTGGCGGATTCACAGACATGTCTGCAGAGGGCATGAGCACCACACAGACACGTTGATAATGGATGGATGGATGGATGCGTCGGTGTGATGAAGCCTTTATCTACCTGCATCAGGGGCGATTGCTGGTTGGTCAGTTCTCGGCCGTTTGGGCGGCTTCGCCTCGGGGGCCGTGTGGTCATGGTCAGATGAAGAGGGGAGGGGAGGGGCAGGGGGAGGCTGGATGGGCTTGAAGGGGGACGTCCATGACGGCCTGATGGCCTTCCACCTCTGCTCGCAGCTGTCCCGGCTTCTCCGGGGCAGTCGCTTGGTCACGTCACCCCAACAAAACGGATAGGTCTTCATGGCGAATAAAAGTACATAGTCCTGCATGGAAAGCACATACGACCGGGTGAGGTGAGCGACTGTGTGTCACCCATTCCCTCGTACACAATAACATAACATACCTCTTCTCGCGTCCATGGTCGTGCATCCCCACCGTCGTCCGCATCTTGGACCGTCTTGGGCATGCCCACCTCACGGACAAAGCCAAAGCCGCCTGTCGCCAGTGGAGGGCGTGGTTCGTCAGCGGCGCTGCTGCGCGAACTGAATGATGATGAATGACAGAGGACACCCACTCATCAGATTTGTGAGCTCCGCCTCGCCGCTCCCAGCCTCACCTCCAAGGGAAGTGCATGCCGTCGGTGCTGCGTTCGATCTCCGACGACCTGCTCTTGAGAGAGAGGGACTCTGCTCCCTGGGCTTCATCCTTCTTTGCAGCGCAGAGAGCAGAAACGTCAATCTCCACCGAAGGCAGCGGTGGCGGCACTCTCGGCGGCACTCTCGGCGGTACCAGACTCACGATGAAGTTCTTGCAAGGCCGTACAACCTGCTTGGGCCGCATTGCCCGCACAGTGCCGAGTGGACGCGGGAAGTTGACGCATTGGGGCGCTTTTTGGGGCGGATGGAACTGGTGATGCGTCGGGCTGTCATCGTCAATAACGATAGCTTGGTCCATCTTCAATTCTTCAATTGATCTTCAACTCTCCACGCAGATGTGACATGTCCTCTACGCGTTTTACGGGGGAAGGCTAGGCAGGCTTGGGGGCTGGTGGGGGCCACTCTGGGCCATAAGCAACTTGAACTGAAGGAGGACAAAAATCACAATGGAGGCGAAGAAGGGACATATGAATGACTCCAGCCCCCTAGAATGGCGCTTTCAGAACCAAGGCCTTTCCACATTGTAGCGGGATGCGCTCGAAGACGCGATTCAGCTGGTAACGCACTCATGCATCATGATCCTGGTGGCACTGTTCACCAGTCACTCTCGTTTTTGGCTTGCAGGCTGACCTTCACACCGCGGAGGGCCACCAGGATGGGCTGTTCTTTAAAAAGGAACTGAAGAAAGGCTTCTCTTGGAGGACTGGGGGTCTGTCCAAAGCACCGTCAAGCCGCAGTGTAGCTTCCGTGTGGCTGGAGCCGTCATTGCGACCATGGCACGTGTTTGGATGGGGAAACATACTCACTTGGTCTCTGATCCTGTTGATTGGCTTGCTGACCTGCGCTTACTTGTAAGCAAGCCATCGCCATAGGGGTGCGAAGATTGATTGCAATCAATTGATTCAGTGGACCACGGCTGAATGTTCGCAGGTACGGAGAGCTCTTGTCGCCTGTCGTTCCTCCAGTAACCACATCATCAAAATGATGAATGAGATCACATCCATGTATTGTATATGCACTCACTCACGTCAATCGTGTCAACTCAGTTTATGGACGAGAAGGGCAATGAGATATATGAGACAGTGCAGGATTACATGCACACCCTTACCGGGATCAACGAGCTCACAGTGTCCATGTAAGCGACATGCCTGTGTCTCCGTTCCCTATATGAGCTTGATCACGAGTCCTCCGTAACTCCCTCATATCTCATTATCTTACTGTCATATCCCTGGGATGGATCCGTGTCTCCAGGTCTCATACGGCTCTCGATGTGTTCTTCGCATGCTGCTGGATCCTTATCTGCAGCTGCTCATTCTTGCTGGTCTTCTCCCACACTGTGAGGTGGAAATCGACCATCAAGTCCTGGAACTTGAGGAAGCTACGGTGAACTTGCACATCATGAGTTAGCTGACTGGCAGAATGTTCTGTCGTTTTCGCTTGTGTCATACAGGCAGTATCACACGAGGATGAAGCGGTCACGGCGTCAGCAGCAGTACCAGCATACGTGGACCATGGACAGCCCCGTCAGCCATAGAGACCACAGCGGGACACGCTCCGACTATGAGCGGAGGGCCACACTACCGACGGCCCACGAGCTCTCCTGTCTTCTACATGCAATCGCACGTGTTTTCAAGCGACTCGGTCAGCCCAACCCTCCTTCAGTGTGTGGATCGGGGAGACGAAGCAAAACACTCATTGCAAGGCCTCTGTGATTAATGACTGCAGGAAGAACGTTTTCATTCACGAGTCGCTTGTTCTGGACTGCCCATGTGAGTACCGCGCAACCCTTCCTCCACCATCCATGAACATTTGGCTGACCTGCTTAGGTATCCCTGGAGACACTGACGATCGTGTTGCAGGTCAAAAAAAAGCAGTCAGTCAATTAATCGCAGGTCTTTTTTTTTGCAGCTATATCGCAGCCTCCTATTTGCCGTCAGTCAATTAATCATCGATCCATCGATTGCTTGCTTGTGTGTGAGCTAGTGACGCCTTTGATGTGTGTGCTTGCAGGGATACGACCTCATGAAGGCCACAGAGGTGCCAGCGGATAGGACCGAGTCTTTATCAGCTTGGCAGCCATTGCCACCGCCCACGCGATCATCCTGACGCTCTGTGTTGTCATTCGCACCAAGAGAAGGGGGGTTGCGATCGTCATCTCTCTTCTCTTGTCCCTCTTGTATCCCATCCACGCCCTCACGACTCTCCTTTCCAAGCAATCGCTGCTCCAGCAACATTCATACATCGTCTTCAAATCCGCGTAGGCAACCAACGAGAGGGAACATCAGGCGTCTATGTCTCCATATTGCTTGCACTCGAGGCAGCGCCTTTCCGCTCTTCCTTGGAAACGCCTGTCCTCTGGTGAACGCGCTCTTTGCTCTCAGGACGCTAGACACGCTCATGTACTCACATAATATATCCGAAACGACGAGTCAGGAAGGGATGCACATCTCAGCTGTTCATACATCGTTTGTACAGGATGCTCAAGGCGTATTTTGATTACCGGAAAGTCAGCACGAGCGAACTCGATGTCCCATCCGACGTGCAAATCAGTTGAATCTTTGCTGTCCTGCTTCTTTTGAATATGATGCTTTCAGGCCAAGGTGACTCGTCTCCCGTCGAAAGCATCACGCTACGCTGCCGGAGACTGGGAGGACAACGCATCGGCGCCCCAAGATTACCCCCACACCCAGCAGGTTCAGTTCTTCAGGCTGGCCCCTACGGCAAACCAGAAAGAGCCGAACGCTGACGATTTCGATGAGAACAAGAAAGGCGCGATAGACTCATCGAATGCCAACTTGGCGTCAGCATTTGTCGAGGCCGCATCCAGGGAAGCGCCGCCTGTCGAAAAAATTGGCGTGGCGGACTTGGACCTTGCGCAGTCTGACGACCAGAGCTTCGTCGGGAAAGACACCGAGATCCCCATTGTGTCCAGCATCTTCGGCCCCACTGTTTTCGGTCCGGTGGACAATCCACGGATCAGCAGCATTCCTCCCGTGGGTGATGACAGCGTCCCGCCAACCCCGCACACATCGCAATCGAAAGAGCAGCCTGCCGATGAGTTGGATCAGGAAGAGGTCAAAGCTCCCCATCCAGAAACGAAAACGTCGCCGCGTCATGGTCTAGTGCGGCTGGCGAGCCAGCTTTCAGCTCTGATGAGTACGTTGCTAGAGAACAGTCAGCGTCCGACAACTCTTGGATGAGTGAAATTGTGGTGAGTGAATTCATGCAGGCACAGATGAGGAGATGGCCGAGTGGACAGCGGAACAGGAGTCTCCTCAGGACGAGGACGAGGACCTTGGCTCTGCCGCGATGCCCGGCCGTGTACCGACAGATACCAAAAGAGCGCCGTCCAGCTACACAACGTCAGGAGAGCCGTCCAAAGAAGTGCCAGGTGGGTTCTGCGATGGGAGAGAGGCTATTGTCAATTCGCCCTTTTCTGTTGGTCTCAGGAGAGGGTATAGAGGCGACGCTTCCCAGCAAGTCTTTCCGGATTAAATCGCGTGCTCTTGTTGGTGACGTCGGCGATGCGTACGTCACCCATGCGCCCACACGGAGCGCACATCGAGCGAGTTGAGACATGAACGGATACACGGGTTTTTCTTGTGCAGGGCGCAGAACGCAGCAATGGCCGTCTCGGTGCGATCTCGTGACTTCTCCTGCGCCTTGATTATATCCACTGTCGTGTCGCTGCTATCACTGGTACACACGCAGGCAGGCGGCCAACTAGGCAGACAGGCCGGCACGCGCGCACACATGTGAATGTGTGCGGCACTAGGCGATCCTTCTTCTCGTCTGTATTCAACGTGCTCGAGCGAGCCGACTTTGTCCAGGCAAGCCGACATTCGTCCGCCCGTCACTTTGGCAATGTCCCTCTTTTGGTCTTGTCTCTGTGTCTCTGTCTGTGCGAGTGTCTGTCTGTCTGTCTGTCTGTGTCTTGGTCTTGTCTGCGCCAGACATGAAGGGGTGGAACGTATGCGGACTGAGGTACGTATATATTCCGGGAGATGTGTATTCTTTTCATGTCTGTCAGGACATTTCCGCCTCTCCAATCGACTCCGTGCAACTGCCGATCTATCATGGCGTCCGACCAACAATACGCGCCATATATGGTCGACGCCATCAAGTCGTTCACGACACTTGAGGTGCGGTGACAGTCAGACAGACAACGTACATGCCACGGACAATGAGCAAAGAATGACTCATATCCGTGTGTGCCCTTTGAACCGATGCAGGCTATCGGTCTGTATCCCCCTTTTGAGAAATTGGAGCTCAACATGAACGTCACTTCCATTCCAAAACAGCTCGCCAAACAAAGTAGGATGACAGGCCTGCTCGAAACAGCCTCGCTCGTGCTGTCCGATGGATGTCTCTCTGCATGTCTCTCCCTTTGTGTCTCCGTGTGTCTGATATGCAAAGCGTTCCTTCTTGCCTTCCTTTGGCGAAGTAAGATTTGGCGCAGGAAACGGATGCCGACACATGTGCGATGCGATTTGCCTGTTTGTGCGGCTGTGATGGCAGAGACTGCGATCAGCATCCTCCCTGCGGACGAGCTGCGGTACTTGGAACGATTGCGCGTGGTATTCTTAGGGGGCAACTTGATCGAAGACGTCCCCGAGAGGTGAATGAATGAAGCATGTCCTTTCTCAGTGGCATTGGATCTCCTGTCTGCCTGTTTGTTGTGTACTTGATCAAAGTACTCGGCATCTTCGCCAGGTCGAATTTATCAATCTCCGTGGCAACTTGATAGCGGAGGTGCCATACAGCATCAGCGAGCTCTACTCGCAGGGATCTCTGACTACTCTAGCGCTAGGTATGAACAATGAGGTCGTAAACAGCAATACCAATGAATGCTTGCAAACCATTGTGTGAGCAGACGTGAACCCAATCTGCTCAAACGGTAATCATCCCTTCGGACGGACCGCCCTGTGTCTGTCTCACCATCTGCATCTGTCTGCTCACCTTTCTGTCCATTCAGGGTTCCTCGAGGACGAGACGGCCCCCCCGGCGTTTGTCCGCATGGTGAAGAATCTCGTCCCGTGCCAGTCACTACAAGACGGACCTGATGGTGGGTCACAGACCCCACCTGGAGAGCTTGGCGGAGGTAAGTAAGATCTCGATTCTCCGGGCCCATCGGCATGACGTCAGTGAGTGAATGTAAGTGTGTGTCTGTGTTTGCATTTGTATGGGTGTGTGTGTGTGTCAGGGACGAGCGGCGGGGAATGCGTCACAAAAGTCCGGCATTCATTTCATCGCATAGGAACACACTTTGTATTGCATATGTGGGTGACCAGTGCCGAGAATGGAAGGCGTTCTTTCACGCACTCGACCTGGACAAGAATGAGTGTCTGGCGTGGTCGGAGGTGGACGGAGTCTACCCTGCACTCACGGAGACAGAGTTCATCTACGCTCTCCAAGGATTAGAAGGAAAATGGGGAACCACAAGGCGAGCAGACTCATTGTGCCAGCCCAGCCATTTCATCGCCGACTGATCTTTTCGCAGGGACCCGAACACACCACTCTGTGGGACAGCTCGGATATTTTCCCTCTTCATGTCGACGTCATACACCGACTGCTCTGGCTGGTATCAGTGAAAGGGTGGAACTACGATGTGGCCAAAGAACAAACCAAGATGCATGTATATGTCTCCTGTTTCTCTTTCTCCCTCCCTCCTTCGTCTTTTTGTCTGCTTGCTGCACATGCAGTACCATCCATGGCAGCGGCGATATGGTGTCCGATCAGAGTGAAAATGATGTATAGCGGCATTAAGCCACTGTCTCTATGGTTTGTGTCGTATCATGTGCATCTGTAAGTGGCATGAATGCATATAATCGTGTGTGCCTAGTACACATGTGCAGGCATCCATACTCGTGCCCACCCGTACATGTCGGTGCGTGTGAGCGTTTGCTTCGAGGCTGTGTTTTTCAGATCTTGATGCACGTATGTCTTGGGAGACATAAGAGATACTGCTGCAGAGGCACTCACTTAAGTTGTAAGCGCTTGTGTGTCCATGTATGGGCTCGTGTTTCATTGCAGTGATCAGGTCTTGATCGCACACCCGCATCGGTTTCACGACTCATTACAACACGCACAGTCACACGAAACGTGCAAAGTGTCGATCGATAAACTCATATTGTATACGTTTTCTACTCGCTGCCCTCCCACTGACCTGCATGGATGAGCTCAATGCACCTCAGTCTCTCTGGGTGAGCTCACGTATACCAGTGCTGCTGCTGCACCAAGAAGGGAGGCGGACGTGGGAACGCAACATACTGCGGAGACATGACGACCGGAGGACTGCGCATCGTACACGGCTGTGGCTGGAGGCGAGGTCCGGGGCCGGTCCAACCATAGTCCGATGCCGAGCGTCCGATCGCCACATTGACCTCGTTGCCGCCTCTGACGTCTCCCAGGGAGGAGCAGCTGGCATTGTTGCCAACCGTTGTGTTGCGGACCATATCCGTCGATGTGGCGGGAGGGGGAACGTCATCGCTCTGTGTCGTCATCGTCATGCTGTCGACCATATGCTTCGTCTTGTGCACCCTGTTTGGGTCGACAGCCGGGGAAGCCGCCGGGGTCGGCGGTGGTACGTTCAAATTGAGCCCTGTGTATGTGGACAGCCCTGGCAAACACACATCACATCAAAGACACCTCTGGTCCACAAACAGATGTCGATCGACCAGTGAGTGTATCATTTGTGACGTACGCTGGGTTAAGTCGGAAACGAATCCAGAGTTTTTGCAAATGTCGGGGTAGCGACTGACGAGCCCAGCAGCCTCCGCCTCTAGCTTCTCCAACTCATGGACCAATGTGAGCTTCCTTATCTGCGTGAGACACACTCGGACACGAAGCTCAAGTAAGTGTTCTGTTCGGCTCGGCTTTATTCGGCTACGTAGTGCTCATTGGTCTGCAGTCTCTGTCTCTTTGTAATCTCGGCTGTGGTCTGCAATCATCATGGGGAGGGACCACATGCATAAGCGATGCACATGGCATGGCGCCTGTGTGCTGGTCAATCCACCCACTCACTCACTCTTCGTTGGACTTCCTCCTGTGACGCAGCAACCAGCTCCTGTAATCAAAGACAATAAGCGCATTCTTAGAACTGAAGCTTCAGTTGAGGGGCTGTCTCTGACCTCCACGATCTGTCGCTGGGCCGCCTCTGGCAAACCGTCGCAAGTCACGTCGCCCGCATCGCCTGAGCCCTGTTTGCACATCACGTCACACAGCGATGACGGGATTGGATCAGACACGGCAGTGAGTCTGAGACGAGTTTACCATCAGCGCGGCAATTTGCTTCTTAAGATACTCAGAGCCCTCACCCTTCTGAACACATAGATCCATACACACATACAGATCCAAACATGAAGGAGTCAGCCTGTCTGCCTGCCTGGGCTGACCTGGAGCCAGACAACAATACCCTGTGTCTCTTCTGCCTGGATCTGCCGGAACAGCCTCTCGTAGGACTTCCGGAACCGCCGCCCGTCCTTGTTCTCCCCCCTGGCCACAGCTGTCAGCTGCTGGACGAGCTGCTGCTGCTGCTTCGCGAGCCGCACGCACTTGACCTCAGCCTGATTGAGCATGGAACCGTTTGACGTCTCTACTTCGGTCGAACAACAAGCCACTTCACCTGTCTCCGCCTGTAGGTCTCCCTCCCTGCGCATCCATTGATCTTCGGATAAAAGGTGCATTCTTGCATTTCTTCGTCCTCCCTGCGCAGCCTCAAGGCCTCTCCCAGCTCCACGCGCTGTCGCCGCCGCTCCAAATACTGATCGATGCAGGCAAGGAGATGTGGTGGCCGCTAGGAAAAAGGCTTCACGGGTGATCTAGTCGTTGCTCGACTCACCTCCTTATCCCTCTCCTCGCGAGACCTACTCGCTGACCGATGTGAGATGGGGGCACAGTGCCTTACGCCTTTTTGGGCATTGTCCTTCTCCATCTCGTGTCTCGCTTTCAGTTCCTGTCTGCAGGTCAAGAAGATCAATCCACAACAGCAGACAGGTCAAGAAGACTAATCCACAACAAAGCCAACTCAAAAGCAGCAAGTACATGCTGAACGCGTGTGACGTCGGCTCACCGTCTACGCTGTCGATTTGAGTAGTCGTCATACAGCCGTTTCAACGTCTCTGATGATGGCCGCGCTGCGTGTGGTCTCCCCTGCCTGTCATGCTTGGACGAGAGCACTGCAGTTTCGCCTGAGGGTGACACATCGCGAGCATGGATGTGATCAATGGCTGGGTGTCTCAACTCACACTCAGTCTTCCTTGCATCAGAGTCACGTTCCTTGTCATTGCAAGAAGGAGACCGGCTGCACATACGTACACAAACCGACGCTTTGCAGGTGCTTGAATGCCAGCTCTGCAGCAAGAAAGGAATACCTGCAAGTGCCGAAGGCGTTCATTCTTCGGACTGTCATCGACTGGCCTGGGTAAAGAGACACAATGCCATAATGCCCGACAGGACTCCTGGTAAGGTTATAAATGATGATGGGACCTCTGGCCTTCAAGTTCCTGGTATTTGCCTTCCGACTACACAAAAGCCGACATTCACGTGCATTTTGCTTACAATCGCACAGCGTGAATGAGGTTTGCTTACCGCTGACGTTGATGGCTTTCCGCAGGTGCAGTCTGCTGGACAACTGGTTTCTCTGCATCTGTCAGACGCCCATGGTCGTTGAAGCAACATACCGCGTCTCCGTTGGAATCATCCCAGGCGGCAAACACAGGAAAATCGTTGCCTGGCAACCCTTGCCCCTCTTGAAGTTGGGCCTCTGATTTCGCCGTAATGGCTGACAGTGAAGTGAAGACCTGCAATGCCAGAGGCACACCAGTGTCGAACAAAAGGGACCGTGCGGAAAAGAACGTGTCCTCTTTCTTGTGCTTCGTCTACCAGGTTATGCTCTTGATCCACAGCGGCACACTTCTCTGCAACAACAGGTCGTGCGTCTTGTCTTGCGGAAGGCCGCAGTGTTGTTCCTCTCAGCAATTCCCCGTGCCACTTGACAGCGTTCCCCGCCGGGCACCCCCCTGCAGTGCTGGGCTGGTGTTCTCCGTCTCCTTCGCTGCCCTGCGACGACCTGCTCGAGATAGACAGGTCGAGGGACCCTGGGGGCGATGGACGAGGCGAAGGAGGCGGTCCACATGACGGCGAATCATCAAGACGTAGCTCTTTGGGGTCCAGTTTGGGATTGGATGCCATCTGTATCCTTGTGACCTGATGGCAGGCTCGACGTCTCTCTTCAAGCTCTGCCTGAGGCCTGTCCTCGTGAGCCGACGGTGCAGGCGGCAGGCTAGGCGGCAGGGGGTCAATGCGTTGGGCGCCTCGACGGACGGCAGGGACGGACATGCGATGAATGTGCCTATGTATTTAGATGTGTACGGGATCTCACTACTATATGGCCATCTATGAGTCGAGGTGACGCCGCCGCAGGGATCCAAGAGATCCAAGCGATGGGAGGCTCGTGGTTCGGGATCACGCGTTCGACCACTTGCTCGCGAGTGGGTTCTACCGACTCTCCCATGCGGCTGGGCGTTCGTGGATGTTGTTCATCCTCGTCCCTGTTGCTCTCGCCTTGGCAGGCCTGGCGACGTTCCTTCCCTTGATGAAGCATGAGTCGCGAATAGACGAACTGTACCTCCCCACGAAGTCGAGAGCCGTCCACGACGAGCTGGCAGTGGAGAAGATCTGGGGCGATCAGGGCATCAGGTACATGAGATATTAGACTGACTCGCTCAGGAGCTGCTGAGTCAATCGGAATGTCGTGTGTGTGGTTGGGCTCTGATGTGACTGCAGGTTCAGCCAGGTCATTCTCGTGTGGCAAGGTTCGTTCGACGCCAACGTGCTCACGGCTGAGCGATTCGCCAGGGCTCACACGGTTGTCCAAGGCATCCTGACAGACAGGGTGGAGCACGAGGGCAAGACCGTCACCTTCGCCGACGTATGCGCCGGCAGCATCATGCCCGACGGTAGCTGCTTCCTTCTGTCTGTCTTCACGTGGTGGGACAACAAGACTCTCCCAAGCACCGACGAGCAGCTCATTCAAGAGCTGAATGCGCCGACTCGTGTGGACCGGTGGGGGAGACCGCTGCGGGATGAGGTGCCGCTGCTGCTGGCCAAAGCACATCACGATGCCGAGGGCCGAGTGGACAGCGCGGCTGCCTATCACTTCATCTTTGGCACCAAACGGACAGATGAAGGCACATCATGGTGAGCGGACCAAAGTCGGTCGATTCGCCAACGCAAATGTCTGTTGCTCGTATGTCTGTTGTTCGTCTGTGTCCCGCCTGGGCTAGCTCCATCCGATACGTCCGTCTCTCACTTTCTCTCTCTTCGTCTGATTGATGCCTGAAGGAGGCAGCTAGGGAAGCATGCAAGCAATGCAATCTTCTAATCACGTGGCGGGCGATTCCTTCCTGAGGCACTCACTCTATGCTTGACGAATGGATCGATGAGCTGTTTGTTGCCGGGATGATCTGCCTGCCTGCCTGCCTGTGTTGCCTGTGTCGTGATCGACGTGCAGGCCGCAAGGAGGCACGGCAGGATGATATATATGGCTTTTTCCTTTCTGTCGTGTAAGGCTAAGGCGGTTACAGTCCGCGTGATGATATAGGTGGATGGATGGATGGTGTTCATTTGCTGCTAGTATGTATCTATGGTGTCCAAAGTACAGAATGACAAAAGGTAGTAATATACCGCTGGCTGCTACATTTCCATGCATTCAAACGTCTTGCTGGCTGCTTTGCTTTGCGGGCCGGCCCATATGTATTTCCCTGTCCATCGGTCCCTTCGTACGTGCGTTGGTTGGTACAGTGAGTGGATGGACGTGGCGGATTTAATTTAATGTGTGTGCACGTGTGACACATGTAGGGTGGGTGCATGGCTTGCAGGGCCGGGGGTGCGCGCGTGCGTGCGTGTGTGTGCGTGTGTGTGCGTGAGTTGATGGATGAATCGATCAGCCTTGCGTGTGCTGTGCACTGCAGGACAGCTGACGTGCGAGAGGTGAGTGAGGTATGGCGTGCAGCTGAGAGAGAGACTGACTGCATGGATGGCATCTGTGCTGTCTGTTTGTCTGGCGTAATATATTTTAGCTATGGCTGACCGGCGGAGTGCGTGGCTGCAGCAAGCAGCCAGCGCGTACCTGACGGCTAGCTGATGTGTTCTGAGCGATGGTTGTGTTGCTCAGAGGGATGTGTGTGTGTGTGTGGATGCTGACTGACACATGTCGGTGCTCTGCGCGTGTGGGTGTGGATGCTGACTGACACATGTCGGTGCTCTGCGCGTGTGTGTGTGGGCGGCCGAGCGACGGCCGACCAGAACTCACTGATTGAATGTTCAACCAGCTGTCCGTGGGATCGACTGCACATGCATACACCAGCACACCGACCGATGGATGCATTGGCGGGTCGGTCAGTGAGTGACATTAAATTTTTGATCTCTCGTTTTGTTTGTGAGGGCGCGCGTGGGCATGCGTGGCGCACACGCACCCTGACACACACACACACACACACACACAGACACAGAGACACACAGACACACAGAAAGACCCCAGGCGGAGCTCCAAGAGAAGACCCCACGACCAATCAGGTCTGTCTGATGCACACGTCGATTTGTACCACATACAAAGCACTCGTGTTGGTGTGGGGGTGCGGCTGCAGCTGTCCGATTTGCAGAAGCACTTCGACGATATCGACGCTGAGAAGAACACCAGAGTGCGCGTGTGTCGAAGTGTGTGGGTGTGTGTGCAGCTCCCTGAGTTGGTCAAGAGTTGTGAGGCATACGACACATCGACACACACACGAGGGACGGGCAATGTGTGTGTGGGTGGGTGTGTAGACGAGACCAATTGCGTTTGATGTGTATGTGTGTGTGTGCGCGGTGTTGCGGTCCATGGTCGGACCAGCAGTCATTTTCGTGTCATTTGTACGACGAAACCACCCTGTGTTGTGTGTCCTCAGCTGATAGATATCATCCTCACAGCCACACAGACCAAACGTACCTCGATATAGACAGCCAGCCAGCAAGACATGCGCTCATCCCAGAGAGAGAGACGGACCGACGCGCATCCATTTGCAGCACCCAGAGTCCGCGCACGCACGCACCCAGTCACAAATCACCTTTAAAAAACATCACACATCCAGCCCATCATCAAACTCAGAGAGAGAGAGAGAGGGGCTCGAGAGCCTCCTGTGTGTGGGCGTGGGCGACGATTGTGTTGTTTTGTGTGAGGGAAAGGAAAGTGGTCGCAGTCACCTGACTACTCTACCCGTCCGTCACCCACCCCCGGGCTGGCCGCTACTTGCGCTCTAAATAAAACATGACTTCTTCTTGCGTGTGCATCTGCCCTGCTTGTCGTCCAAAAAGTTCTTCTTGTTCGGGTGGCAGGGCTCACAGTAGCCGTCATAGCTACACTCGCACTCCTGGGTGAAGCCTTGTCCCCAAGGGCCAGTGGCTTCATGGTATTTGTTGCAAATCCTGCCGATCATCTCGGGAATGGCCACCCACGCGCCAGTCGCAGGGTCCTTGCGCCCGCACGGCTTCATGTTGAAGGCTTTAGTGGACCTGTTGCAGAAATCCGTCGTCGCGCCTGCATCCACACACACCACCCACACACCACACACACACACACACACATGGCGTTGGATGACCTCCAGGAAGCATAATTGCATACCGTGGTGCTGCTGCTGCTCTTGATGTCCGTATTCGCCGGTGAGGTGCATCTCCCCGCTGGATGGCGGCGAGTGCGGCCTCCCGCACGGCGAGTGCGGCCTCCTGCATGGTGAGGGAGCTCGTTATCATGCCCTTCAGATCTACCACCCTGCTCGATGAGTGACAGCGCCGTAACTGAACGCACAATGCAATGCAGGCGGCAAACCATGCAGGGCATTTGTGGGTGCTGTAGGTGGCACATGTACGTGCGGGCCTCATCCATCTGCCTCTCACGCACGTAAGTACCTTCGCTGGCCTGGATCTCCTGAGCGCGGCCGAGAAACGACGCACCTGCACACAGAGGAAGCCAGAGAAACATGCCATCCATGGATCATTCCCGTTCGTGATAGATCTCGCCGCTCCATGGACCATGCACGTCAACGCCGCAGTCCTTCCCCTCCTCGCAGTCGGGGCCATACTATAGTAGCTCCCCTCGCCCACCCACATCTCTGTGGGCACACATCAGTCATGCGGCCATCCATATGCACAAAAGAGGACCAAACTCACGCAGTATGGGCAGATCTGTCATGGTGGATGGTCGGTTCGGCGCCTGTTTGTCCCCCCTTTGCTCACGTCGGTCAGAGTTGCGCTGGGCTGTCACAGCGGCCAGGCCGACCACCAGGATGACGAGGCTGAAACAACGCGTCATCATCATCGCGCCAGCAAATCGCAGACGATGTGCTCACTCGGCGACTAAGAGGTCTAAGAGATCTCCTTATCGGGAGAGATTAAAGGGAGGCGTGCCCATGCCAGGGACGTGGACAAACATTCACGTCATACGCCGGACCTGCGTATGACGAGAATGTAATCACCCAATATACAGATACAATCGTCACTTCGGGCTGTGTACATGTAGATGAGTTCGATAGGACTGTTAGCTATAGGTGAGACACACCATTGCTTGTTGCTTGTTTTGTGTGAGTGAGTGAGTGAGTGATGTCGATGGGTGGGTGGGTGGCCGGGTGATTGAATGGATGGATGGCTGCAAGTGATGATCATGAATCAGTGAGTATCAGCCATCAGTGCGATTGAGACTTGGTCATGCATGTCATCTGTTCATTCATTCGTTCTTCGTGTGGTGTGAGTGCCTTGGATTGTTGGAGCTCATGATTCATGGAGAGGCTGTGGCAAGGCTCAGGAGAGTAGCATCAGTGCAGGCTGCACGCATGTGTCGCTTGGTTGACTGTGGCGGTCGGGCGGTTGATTGGTCAGAGAGCCACATTGCAGTGACGTTTCGTTTCGTTGACTCATTCATTCATTCATTCATTCACTTTCTGGCCATTCTTGAGTCTGTTTCTCGTGAGAAAGAGTCTGTTTCTCGTGAGAACGTGTAATTTCGCCGGAACTCGGGCGGCGGTAAAACAGAGGCCGACGCATGCGTTTTGATCGGATCGCACCAATCACATTTGACGTCCCCAGATCGATTGCTGCGTGTCTGGGATAGAGCAGCATGTGCTGTGGTGTGCGTCTGGCAGTGCGACGAAAAGGGCGCGCAGATTTGGCCAGCCCGGCGTCCTGGCCGTTCAGATTCACTTCGCCTGTCGTCCTGCCATATCTGTCTGCGCAACACGCGTGGGAGCCACGTGTCGATGCAGTCAGTCATGGTTTGTGTGAGTGAATGGATGGAAGGGTCGCTGCAGCCTGCGACCTTCGCTCATGTGGAGATGCACGTCCGGACGTCCCAGTCCGCAATTAAAGCTTTTTGACTTTGGATCATTCATGCCTCCTGTGTCTGTGTGAGCGTGAGTTTGTGTTTGGGTGCACTGCACGTGTGTCTTAATTATCTCCTCCTTCCGACTCAAGTGGCTTAGCTTGCCGCCGGCCCATGCATGTTGGTGTCCACTGGCTGCGGGCAGAATGTGTGTGCATCCCTCGATACGGAAGTCGCTCTATATGCCCAAAGCTTTGACTTTAGAAAGATCATGAATGACATATATATGTCGATCACTCACCGTTGGTTGGCACACAGAAACCTCATGCATGTCAGATCCGTCCGGTCCACGCAGTGAGCACACATTGTTTGTGTCTCAGAAACGCACAACAAACAAGTCTCAGAAACCAACCGACCTCTCCATCCATCCACTCATTGCGTGCAGGCATATGTATTGCCTGCCCGCCTGCAGCCTGCCCGCCTGCCTGCCTGCCTGCGCTCATTCCTGCTGCATATGGCGTACCTGACGTCACCACACCGACAAACGCCACTCACTCAAACACACTCACATCACACTTGCCACAGCGCGACCAAACGGACAAACGTACGTACGCAGACAGACAGACAGACAGGCAGCCAGGCCCTGAACGAGCTAGCTCCCTTCCCTCCCTTGTGTACGTGTCAGTCACTCAGCGCCGGCCTTTTTCTTGGGTTTCCACGTATAGCCAGTGGTCCGCTTGTATCCAAAGTGCTGGACGAGTGCGTCGCTGTCGGGCGGGCCGCGCGAGCCGAAGGGGTACGTGTGGATGGTCACAGGCATGGCGTCGCCCCCTGCAAGCCCGTCGATGGTGTGCAGCATGGGGGTGAAGATCCGCCAGGCCTCGCGCAGCTCGTCCGTCCGCACGAAATTCCGCTTGTCGCCTGCTTGGACAGAGACAGACAGACAGACAGACAGAGGGAGCCAGTGTGTCTGTCTGTCTGTCTGTGTGGGTGTAGAGTGAGTACCGTTGACGCAGTCGAGAATGAGCCGTTCGTAGGCGTCGGGCAGTCTGTCAATGTCGAATCGGTCGTGCAGGCTGAGGTCGAGCTCTGTCTGCTCGACCTCGTTGCTGAGCCCCGGCTGCTTGCCGTAGATCTTCATGTACACCGCCTCGTTCGGCTGCACCTGCAATCAATATGCAGTCAGTCGACAGAGGGAGGGAGGGAGGGAGGGAGGGAGGGGGAGGATGCACACATGCTCGCACCGCACGGAGACGTCTGGCCGGCCTCCCTACCTTGATGACGAACTCGTTCCTCGCCAACTCGCCGAACAAACTGACGAGCAACACAACGCAGCGCGCAAATACGGCGCAGACAGGAAGGTGTTGTGTTGTGTGCGTCTCTCCCTCTCTCTCTCTGTGTGTGTGTGTGTCTCTCTCTCTCCCCTGTGTGTGTGGTGCACGTATGCCCACGACAGACAGACATACCCGCCAGGGACGTCCTTGAGTTGAATCCGCACCTCAGCCATCCGCTCCTCCAGCGCCTTGCCGGCCTGCAACCACATACATAGACACACAGATGCGTGCAGGCAAGTTCGTCTGTATTATGTCATGAGGGTGAGGGAGGGAGGGTGTGTCTGTCTGTGCTGCAATGAGTGTGCGGTGCGCGCCTTGCCTTCATGATGAAGGGGACGCCGGCCCATCTCTCGTTGTTGATGAACATGACCAGCGTCGCGAACGTGGGGCACTGCGAGTCAGCCGGCACACCGGGGTCCTGCAAATCAAATTGGCACACACACACAAACCGACAGGATACACGCGCATGATAGATACATGTGTGTATGTGTGTGTGCACTAGGTGGCTGACGTCTTTATATCCGGGCGTCTTGCCGTCCTCCGACCGGGTGTACTGACCCAGCACCACATGCTCCGTCTCTGGTCACACGCGTCACCCACACACACATCCATCCATCCATCCACCCACCCATCACTTTGTTTGTCAGCGTACTACGTGATGCATATGGCCATTGTCCTGGGGCTTACTGATGGGTGCGATTTGTTTGAGGACCTTGACCTTCTCGTCGCGGATGTCCTCATCGAGCAGCGACGCCGGCCGCTCCATCGCCACCAATGTCAGCATCTTTTAAACAGAGACACACACACACACAGATACATAGACCACCCAGCCGTGTGAGCGCATCTATATGGCTTCACCTGCAGCAGGTGGTTCTGCATGACGTCGCGGATGATTCCGACTTTGTCGAAGTAGCCCCCACGGCCCTCCGTGCCGATGTCCTTCACACACACACCACAGCACCATACCCCACCCAACATGTGTGTCGCTCACTCGGTGTGGGTCATGCCGATGGCCAACTGACCTCCTTGAATGTGATTCTGACGTTGGCGACGTAGTGGTTGCTCCAGATGGGGGTGAAGGCGACATTGCCGAACCGCAGCGCCATCAGGTTCAGCACCATCTCCTTGCCCAAGTAGTGGTCGATTCGATATGTCTGCAACACACCACACCACACCCCGACCGACACACATACATAAACAGACACACACGTACACTCATTGATTCGCAATGTACAGAGACGACGACACTTGTGTGTACTTGTGTGGGTCCCACCTCCTTCTCCTCGAGCACGGCCATGAGTTCGCTGGCGAGCTTGTCGGACGACGGCAGGTCGTGGCCGAAGGGCTTCTCGACAATGACGCGATTCCATCCTGCCATATGCATATCACATCCATCCATCCATCAAGCCGTTCATTTAGTTCACACGTATGGCCCAAACGAACGACCACATGTCTGTCGGTGGCCCACCATGTGCAACAAGCGCACGCACCTTTTTGGCTCCATGCCAGCGGCTTGAAGGCCCTCACTGCGTCTGCGAACTGGGTGGGAGGCAGTGCCAGGTAGTACTGCACACACATACACACACTGTGTGTGTGCCGAGAGAGGGGTGGCGTGGGTAGGTGGGCTGTGTATGCACCCATCGATCATCCATCCACAGGTTTGTGTATACGTGTGTACCATCCGGTTGGCCCGTGCGAATTTGGCTTCGTGTTTGTCCTGCAGCAGCTTGTCCAGCCGGGCCGCGTCGTCGGGACTCCCGTACTGACCACAGCTGAAGTGGCACCCACCGATCCGATCCATCGACAAACAGAGAAGAACACACACATAACATGGATGGATGCGTGCATCTGGCGTAGTCTCTCTCTCTCTCTCTCTGTATGTGTGTGTGTGTGTGTGTCCTGCGAGCCTTACAAGTAGGTACATCTCTCTCTGAATTTGTCGGGGAAGAGGCAGATGTGCGACATGCCCCGCAGGCGAACCGACAGAGTGCCTTTGTCGCAGAAGAACGCACCGACCTTCCTGACATACGCACACACACACAAATGGGTGGGCGAATGAATGGATTGCACTAGGGGAGAGGGAGGGAGGGTCCTCACGAAAGTCCGGGTGAGAGTCTCTCCCAGAAGTCGTCGAATGAGAGCTCAGTGCGCGCGTAGCCCTTCACACACACACACACACACACACACACATATGGACGAATGGGAGCGGTAACACAAATTTCATGGAGCGTGGCGTGCGCACCACGATTGTGAAGTTGCGGGGCAGCCGGCCTTCGCAGAAGAGGCTGAATAGCGCCGGGCTGACACGCACACCACACAGACAGACAGACGGCCCAGGGCGGTCTCTTTGTCTGTCTGTCTGTCTGTTTGTGCATCCTGATTGGCTCTCTGTCTCACTCACAACGTCTTCTTCTTGGCCAGATCGCCCGACGCGCCTGGATGTTTGGCAAGAAGCGAGCGGCATACACACGCAGACGTATGGGCGGCATTTGCCCGTGTTTGTGTGTATCGTATCCATCCACCAAGGCATTCATTCAAACCTACCGAGCACGACGAATGTGGTGTGCTCCTCAGACTCGGCCCGCTTGGCGTCGTCCTGGCTCACCGCAGACAACGGCGGGTAGCAGATGGCCGACACACCACCTGCACACACACACACATTGTGGATGGATGGGTGGGTGGGTGAAGGTGTGTGAGTGTGTGAGGTGATCTGACCTGCTTCGATGGTGTACAGGGCCGGGAGGTCCTGCGGCAGACCTGATGATTGTGTTGCGTGTTTGCAGAGCAGATGGATGGATGGATGGACGGACGGACGGATGTGTCTGCGCCATGCGCCCACCTACCGCCGTGCAGCACTTCGCGCCATTTGGCCATCTTGTTCTCGCCAGACAGAAAATACACCTGACCACACACACACACACACACACGAGCATGCGGACCCGCTCTCCATCATCTCAGCCACCCAACCACCTTGTGTGTCGCCCGCGCAATCAGATCCAGCGAGATCGTGATGCGATCCTGCGTGTGCCACACAGAGAGAGAGAGAGACATACATTCAGACACATACCGTCCGCACCTTTCCGGCGAATCTGTCGGTCTGTGTGTGGTGGACGAGCTGCGCCGGGTCCGTGGCGCGGGCGTAGTCAGCCGGGCTGAGTGTGGGGAACCATGACGCGATGTGGCCGTCCTCGCCCATCCCTGCCACCACACCATTCGCCACATTCATTCTGTGCATCCACCCACCCTGTGTGTGTGCGTGGGGCTGGCTACTCCCCACCGAGGGTGACTATGTCGGGTGTGCCGTGTTGCGAGATGAGCGCACTCAGGTCCTGCACACCACACCCATCCACCGATCCTTCCGTCAATCACGTGTCCATTGGTGACGGCAGGCGTGGCTTGCCTGGTGGTATTTGGCGATGCATTGGTCGAGGGGCAGCGAGGTGTCGGGCACCACCATCGCGTCAAGGGATGTGCACCCGTCTGCACCACACACATCCATCACACACACACAGACAGTGGGCTCGCACACTCACACACGAGCACATCCAAAGCCCGCTGTCGCTCACTTTTGCAGAGGCTCTCCTGCAGCATGCGCTGGTTGGAGTCGGGGTGGTCTCGAGGCACATACCTACACAATCACCATCACACACACACACACACACACATGCGTCTTCCCCTCCTCCCTCTCTGCCCGTCCGTGAGCGTGTGCATCCTTGTCTGTCTGTGTGTTGATGCAGTGAGTGCAGTGCGCGCCTTTCATCGACGAGGAAGAACACCAGTCTGGACCACTCCAGCTCCTCCAGACGACCGAACTCTGTCAGGATCTTCTTGGGCGTCGAACCACCTGCACACCACACCACACAACACAGCACAGCACAGCACAAGCACACAAACACACAGCACCACACCTGTCACGATGAATGAGCGAATGAATGGTGCACCACTGTGTATGCGTGTGTGTGTGTGTCTGTGTGTGTGTTTGCCTGATAGTCCGATGAGAATTTTGCTGTAAGGGTCGGTGTCGATCCGCCCCTGGATGCAGACGACGAGGAAGCGCACGCACTCGGCGATGAAGCTGTCCTCACTGTGGCAGTCGTAGTGGCGCGGGCCCTCATGCAACTCCTGAAACCACACACAGACAAACCAGACAGACAGACAGGCAGACAGACAGAGATCAATCATGTGCTTGTGTGGGTGAGTGAGTGAGTCAATATATTGTGCGTGTCTGTCGTGACCGCGGCTGGCTGACCTCTTTGCTTCTGGCCCTGGACACTTGTGAGGCGAACCTGCTGACGGGCGTCGGCGGCGTCGGCAACATGATGGATGGCAGATGAATTATGTGTCACAGCAACCACACATGCAGCTCCTTCACGAGATAAGCTCGCAGAGTGGAGCGGAAGCTCTCCCCCTTTCCGCTCTCTTTCGTGTGTGAGCTGCTCCACGCCATGTCGAGTGAGATCGGTTTGATCGGCCTGGCCGTCATGGGCCAGAACCTCGCTCTCAACATCGCCTCAAAGGTAAGCAGCCTGGCTGATGACATCACTCACGTCAGCGCGGGGCAAGCAAACGACACAGACACAGACAGACAGGGAGGGAGAATGAATGCAACGGACCGACCAGGGCAGGGCTTGTGGGTTCTATTCTGTGCCCCTGTGTGTGTGTGTGTGTGTGTGTTGTTTGTTTGTTTGTTTGCATGCCACTGGTGTCTGTCTGCAGGGTTTCAGGATATCGGTGTGGAATCGTTCGGAGAGCAAAGTGGACGACACCACCGAGCGGGCCAAGAAGGAGGGCAACCTGCCCCTCGACGGACACAAAGACCTCAGCGCATTCGTGGGACAAACAGCCGCATGCACGACAGACAGACAGACAGACAGACAGACAGACAGCGAGACCGATGGATGGATGAATGGACGTGTGGCTGTGTGTGTGTCGACATTTTCGCAGGTCCAGTCGATCAAGAAGCCCCGCAAGATCATCATGCTCATCCAGGTACACACACACACACACATGAGTGTGCGTGGCGTACGCTGGCTGCATCGCTGTCTGCATGTGTGGATGGATGGATGGATGGATGGGTGGAATGCAGGCGGGTCCCCCGGTGGACAAGGCGATGGAGCCCCTGCTGCCCCTGCTGGTGAGCAAAGCAATCGTGTTTGATGATCGATGTGCTGTGGCCCGTGACGTGTTTGTTTACCCAACGCACCCACCCACAGGAGGCCGGCGATCTGCTGATTGACGGCGGCAACGAGTGGTACGAGAACACCGATCGGCGGACCGCACTCTGCGAGAGCAAAGGAATCAGGTAGGCAGGCGCACCGATTCACAGGGCCACCCGACCAGACAGACACCAACCCACCTGCGCACACATGGCGTCAATGTGTGTTTGTGTGTGTGTGTGTGTGTGTTTAGGTACATGGGTATGGGTGTGAGTGGCGGCGAGGAGGGCGCCCGCCACGGCCCCTCGCTCATGCCGGGCGGCACCAAGGAAGGATGGGATATCGTCAAACCCATCCTCATGAAAATCGCAGCACAGGTCACTGCATACACACACACACACACACACACACAGAGAGAGGGAGAGGGAGGGAGAGTGTGTTGGTGGTGTGTGTATGCGTTCAGGTGGATGACGGTCCGTGCGTGAGTTACATCGGACCTGGCGGGAGCGGCAACTACGTCAAGATGGTGCACAACGGCATCGAGTACGGCGACATGCAACTCATCGCTGAGGCACGCAGGAGCCACCACACACACACACACACACACACAGAGAGAGAGAGAGAGAGCACTCTGTAGAGTGTGTGGCTGGATGTGTGGATGCGCAGGCGTATGCCGTCCTGAAGCAGATGGGCGGCTTGACCAACCCAGAGCTGCAAAACCTCTTCAAGTACTACCTACCTGTCCCGCATAGCACACATGAGCCACGCTTCTGCACACGTGTGTGTGTGTGTGTGTGTGGCTGTGGCTGTGTGTGTCAAGGGAGTGGAACAAGGGCGAGCTCAAGAGCTTCCTCATCGAGATCACATCCGACATATTCGGGCAGAAGGACGACAAAACAGACGGTGGGTCGGTACACCCCCACACACACGTGTTCGATGGATGCGACACGCGAGCTTCTGCGTGACATCTATGCATGGCACGCTCGATGGATTCGATATATGCAGGCTATCTGGTTGACAAGATCCTGGATGTGGCGGGCTCCAAGGGCACCGGCAAATGGACCATTCAGGTGGGTGGGGTGACATGAGCTGAGCACCTTGACACCTACACAGCCACGACTGAATAAATGGATGGATGGATGGATGCGCACGTGGTCTCTCGGTCGGTATGGTGAGCTGTGTTGTGTTGTGTTGTGTTGTGTCTGGTGGGTTTTGCAGGAGGCTGCTGAGCATGGCGTGCCGTGCCCCACCATGCAGGCAGCCCTCGACATGCGGTAAGCAGAGAGGGAGGGAGGGGCCGACACACACGCCACACACATCCAAACGGCTCTCTCTCTCTCTCTCTGTGTGTGTGTCAACAACAGCTACATGAGCACCTTCAAGGCGTTCCGTCAGCGCGCCTCTGGCAAGTTCAAAGGGCCGGCCACCAAACCACAAGTCACGCAGAGCACACTCATCGGTAGGTACCACACACACAGACTGATTGACTGATCGCAGACAGACAGACAGACAGAGAGCCACAGACCTACGTGTGCACACGACGTACAACATTGTATCATGCATGGGACTGACTGTGTGCACTCACTGCAGACGACGTGCGCAATGCGTTGTACTGCGCCAAGATCTGTTCGTACGCGCAGGGCCTGATGCTGCTGCAGACCGTCAGCAACGAAAAGGGCTGGGGGCTCAACCTCGGCGAAATCAGCAGAACCTGGAAAGGTCGAATGCATGGACGGCTGGCTGCATGGCATGGATACCTCCCTCGCTGCCCGACCGACCAGCTGTGTGTATGTATGTATGTATGTGTGTGTCGCATGGCGTCGTTCGTTCAGGCGGCTGCATCATCCGTGCGGTGTTTTTGGACCGCATCAAGAAGGCCTTCGACCGCAACCCACACATGGACAGCCTCCTCATGGACGACCAGTGAGCTCCTCGAGCAGCCGGGGAGGGAGGGCGGGAGGGAGGGACAGAGGGAGCCATGCCATGTGTGTGTGGTGCATGTGGTCGCGCAGGTTTGCGGATGAGATTCAGCAGCGTGAGGTCAGCTGGCGGCGAATCGTCAACGCGGCGCAGGCGGCCGGCATCCCCAGTATGTGGCATTGCCACCAGAAACCTCTCACCCACACAGAGGCAGAGGCACCCATCTATCTATGAGTGCACGCGATGCGACGCGACACACATCTGTTGAAATCTGTGTTCGTGTGTATTGTGTGCAGTTCCTGCGCTGTCGGCGAGCCTCTGCTATTTCGACGCTTACCGATCTGCAACGGTCCGCCCCCACACCACGACAGACACACCACAACGAAGTGTTTTCTGTACCCCCTCTCTGATGGTCTGTCTGATGTGTTGTTTTGTGTTGTTTTGTGTCTGTCGTATGTGTCCATTCCCTCCCTCGTGCGTGCAGCTGCCTGTGAACCTGGTGCAGGGGCAGCGTGACTACTTCGGCGCCCACACCTACAAGCGCACCGACGACGAGGGCGGGCCCTACCACACACAGTGGACGCACTTCGCACAGACCTGATCAATGGCAATGATCAACGAGGCAGCCGAACAACCACTAAATCGTGATAGACTGAAGGAGGGAGGGGGGGAGGGAGGGGGCGGAGGTTTTGCTGCCTTTTTTGGCTGTGGTTGGTTTGTTGATGGACTGACTGGAGGATTGGCTGCCTGCGTGCCTGAGAAGTGGCATTTTTGGTCAGTCAGTCATGCATGGGCGGAAAGATCGATGCATGCTATGCATGTTTTCTAGCTGGCTGCTGACTGGTTGGCGGTGCTTACTCGGTCGGTGGCATGAAGAAGAACGTTTTGTTTGGCATAGTTCGTGGAATGTACATTCGTCCATCGATGCCTCTCTGCCAACGTACACTCATTCGCACGCCAGCAGCAGCCAGCCCCCGCCCCCGTCCGTCAAGCCTGTATGTCACATATATGCTTCTTGGTGACTGTCGTCACCGCGCACCGGCCCAACATCATTTAACGTTCGTAGAATCCGCTCATCCGTCCTCCCCCAGGAGCTACTACACTAGAGCTCTCATGCACAGTCGCTTATGAAACAGGAGAGAGGCCATCGACTGAGAAGGAAGGAGCTGGCTGAGACCAACATTGGCAGGACCTGTACCAGGTCTGTGAATGCTGACATTGTCACCGCGACCGCTCGCTATGTCTCGGAAAAGAGGGAAGAGGAATAAACGAGATCCATGTGAAAAGAGCCGAAGTACCTGTCGGCAAATCTCCATGTCTCACAAGCCTCGACTGACCTTCGCTGAGTGTGTGTATAGCGACAGCACAGAGAAGATGAGGGTCATTTGGAGGACATAACGCCGCTTCCTCATGACAGTCGTCGATGTCAGAGCGACTTGGCGAGAGACCCTGCACGCACACACGAACGTAGACGCTGTTAATATCATCGCCGTCCAGTTGATCGGGATGCTGACGGTACAACATCTTTCGCGCATGGTATTGGTATTTGCCGAGACGACATGCAGGTGTGTGAATCCATGCCAGGCACTCCCTCCCGGCGGCAATTGGCACTTGGTGAGTAAGTAAGCAAACCAACCAACCATCCGTCCCTCATCCAGTTTGTGCCTATAGGCACAAGCCGCACAGCCAGGTCTTACGCAACAAGCCCACTGTCTGCCTATTGATGGATGTCTCTAAGCGTTCTCTGCTTTTCCTTGTGCCTGAGCTGCGTCCTGGTACGGGGCAGCTTCATGTGAACCTTTAGGACGGCGCTTGCGGCAAAGTCGTCCGGTAGTGGGGGCAGCTTCTGCGTCCCCTTGCGCATCTCCTCCTCGCGAATCGATAAGACGCTCATAGACGACCAGAAATCCTTGTTGTATCTCATATGCGCCACGCACTCACGCATCTGCATCGACACCATCCATACCCACGGACAACGTGTACATGTTTTTCCAGGAATGTCACCTGCGGAATAATCTCGCTCATCGCATTGTACAGCGGGGCTATGATGACATCGATGAAGCCACACTGAGACCGCGCGATGTTTGTTGTCCCTCTATGTGGAAGAATCAGAGAGCCAATAGGGAGATCATCGGGAATCCCGTCTGACTCTCATCATCTTCCCCTCTGCTCTCACCGGTTCATCAGCGGCGAGATTGGCAGACCGAGAGCCTTTTCCCTGTCACCTACATCAGCAAGACACTCCCCATCTAGTCAACCCACAATCTCATGAACAGCGGGCGGTTTTGAACCTTACCTTGTGCAAAGAACTCTTGTATCACTACCCGATTCACATCCGATTCACATCCGATTCACATCCGATTCACATCAAACCCGCTGGTCTCCTTCTCTCTGGCTTACCTTTGTCTGTCCACTGCAAGTACGGCGGCAGCGGCCGGCAGGGATTGGAGACATCAGCAGCGTGCACCACCATGCTCATGATCAGCAAGCGGTCCTCGCGGCTGAGCTCTTGCTTGAGCCACTCTGCCATACGGCGTTTCAACGGTAAGAATGAGGACAAAAAGCTGCTGATGTGTAGATGCCCATTCTTAGTGGAATGATGTGCTGGGCCCCTTCGGGTCTAAGCCCTCCTTCTCCTAAGCCCTCCTTGTCTCTAGGCCCACCTTCGTCCTTAGTCTTCAGCAGTCCGAGTTTCACAAAATGCTGCGACATGTCCGTAGCCAGCACCATATGGATGATTGCCTCGCGCACTAAAGCATCCAGCAAAGAAGAATACATATGTGTAGCACACAGGGCGTATGATGCATATAGGCCGCAGTCCGCAGCTATGGAGTATGTGGCCACTGGCGTGTGCTTGAAAATGTTGTACTTAGACTGTTGCATGAGCTGGAAGACTGCGGCGATATGGTGGCTCTCTAACACGGCCTTGTCTGTCGCGCAAAGGAGACATGATTCATGTGCATACCACACGCATTTTTGAGCGTACCATTGTAGAGGATCGCGAGCGGGTCATTGGTCTTGATAAGGAAATTGTTGCTTACTCCAGGATGATCTGAATACCCATCGTTAACACACAGACAGCGCGCATGCACAGGAGCATCGTATGTCATGCCATTGCTACCGTAGTCGTGTATGGCCGCTGAGAAGATCACGGTGAAGAGCTCAACCTAAGGTATACGACAGGAAACGAACACGCCAAGGTCACAATGCAGAGGACGAGAGGCGGCTTGGCAAAATGTATTGAATACATTCGTAAAGAACTTTGAAGGGCTTTCAGCTGCTCGGTAGCCTCGTGAAGCCCTCTATCTAGAGGGCTTTGACGACGAGTGATTTGAGTGATTTGAGTGTATGCCTTGATGCAGCTATCAATTCTCGTCAGTCAGTATCTCATCAGTCAGACACACGTGGCAGTACTACTATGCTGTACAGCTATTTGGCGCTGGCCAGCATCCTTTGAGCCGCTGTCAACTCCTGCAACACACGCACCCACATGCCATTCATTTCATTCACACCATACCTACCAAACCGTATGTGTGGTCGCCCTGACCCGCCCCATCTACCTCTTCGAGTGCTTCCTTTGTGCCGCCAAGCAGCTCGAACCAAATCTGCCGGATTTTTTTTTGGATTTTGTCTGGCGCCTCGGCGAGATCTTGCATGGCGGTGTGTTCGGGATGCGAAAAAAAGGCATTGGGCTGGTCTGTGTTATCGTCCAAGGCAAGGCTCCCTTCCACTCTGGCGACCATCGTGCCACCATCCGCCACGCCCTCACCAAGAGCAAGCAGCAGCGAGACGTCGCCCACAAAACCAAGAGGGAGGCCGCCCTGCCGCACATCGACCGCCGGCGCCATCGCGTCCTCTCCCGCAGCGCCGAATACAAGACGTCCGGCTGGCTGACCATCCTCCCATC